TAAGTTAGTAAAAGGAACCTTAATTATCTCCAGGTAGAGAAAAACATGGCTTTTCATATATTCACCAAACAGCATAAAAATCTATAACTTATATTTTATTGCACTGAAACTTTAAGTCCCACATACCCCCAGATAGCTTGGATCTGAGTGCATATTATAGGCGAATAGCGCTCAGATCCCACAAACACAGTTCTCAATATCGTCGAATGAAGTTTGAACTTCACCGGTGGTTCGCGTGTTTGTATCCGACACAGAGTTCCACAACTGTAGCTGTAACGGATCACCTGGCACCCCGACTGGGTACCTCCGTTGAAGGATGCTCCTAGCACTTCCTGAGGACTTCAAGCACTGCAGCAGACACCAAAACCACCGAACCGTAGGAGCATTTGAATGCTCTCAAGCATATGAATGTTGTATACAGCCGAATAGGAAAAACCATGCGAATAGGTTTACACTCCTAGCAGTCAAACTGGAACAGCATACAATAAATCCTCCCCCAATAATGAGACGACACTTCACTTTGAGGGTTAAGCAGGAACTGACTGTACTGGCACATACAGCCTCTTTTATTCCCAATCCACAAATTTAGTACTGCCCACAGGGTTTTACAGAACAACCAATAACACACGTACATTACAGAAAGACACTCCCACACAAAATCCTCCCCTCTGGCTGTGATATGATTACTGAACACAATGGTTAATCTAATTATCACAGCCAGAGAAATACAGTTTCATAAAACACATCACAGGGACCCCAAAACATGCAATAACCCCATATATCCTTGGAACTGGGGGATCTGGGTGAACCACATATCCAAAATTCACCCAGATCCGTTCAGTACTTTGGAAAATACAGTTTAATGCAGATTCTGCAGAACATATACAGGCTAAATGAAAAACAATCACTGTATAATGTGTCCCCTGCTGTATAGTCCAAAACCACTGCACGATGTCTCTGTGCACCAAATACTGGCGAGATGGCACCGTGTTGAAAAGTCCAAACAGTGTCTGTGAGTTAAAATGGCCGCCATCCATTGTTCTCACCATGTGCTTCTGATACAGGAAATGGTGGCCACCCAGTAACTCCACAGTATGTCCCCAGATGGTTCTTAAAGGGCCAGCAGCAGCACAACACAAATCCATTATGCCCAAATCATGTCTTTAAAGGGCATTACATCCCAGGGGCCATAGTCACATGGCAGGAGGCTGGCAATCAGTCTTCTCCAATGCCCAGTGGCGAGGTCGGTTTCGCCACAGTAGCTATCTGGGGTTGGTCTATTTCGCATAAATCCAAGTCCCGAACGGTGAAATGTTCCCAGCATTCGTGTGTTTCCAGCCGTATGAACGAGGACCTTGGTAGGCAACAGCGGTGTTCGGCAGAATAAGTGTCTGAAAAAGAGTTCCAGAGCTTCGCCGCCATTTACCGCTGAGCGTTCAACAATTTAAAATGGCGACTGCCACGTGTTCGACAGACGAACGTGGAACACCAAGCTGTTCCCCAATTACTCTGCGGTTAACCGCAAAGTCTGGGTGGTTAATGGGTGCCACACGACCTCGGTAGGAGGTATAAAGCATGTATAAAGCCGTGCAGCCCCTGACACGCGCGTTCCGCCCACTTAGCTCGTCAGACGAACGCGCGTCAGGGGCTGCACGGCTTTATACATGCCGTTTTTTATTATCATAATAGGCGATTTATTCTCTGATTTCTCGTTATTTCTATCTAAGCGGGGTGAGACATAGGTGCCCTCGAAGGCACGGGGGTGGAGTGTTAGGTGGAGGGTTAGCCTCTCCTGTCTATCTGTTTATCGCAAGACAGCCTAGTGTATACCTTATACTTACAATCACCGAGTGCAGTCTTTCAGCGTGTTGTTAGTATAGTCATCTCTTACTATACCATCTCATCTTCATTCCTCATTTTGAACTACTATTTTGTTTCCTTTCAGTACAGCTCTAACTCAGGCATTGATGATTATACATTGTATATAACCAGGCATCATTGTTGAATATCCAATATTCAGTGCTGTTGGAAGCCTCTGATCTAACAATACATGTTCAGGGGCGTATCCTCAGTATTTGGAGATATACACTCTCAACACGCCGTTTAGAATCTCGATCTGCTGATATTTATATATATATTACACTACATATAAGCATTTCCAATTTTTTGCTATTTTGATAGGGTACACAGGCTGCATAACCTACTCAGCAGTACACAACATTGTGTCCTACCTTACTATTCATTATTAGTAGCACCTGTAAAACATTTATGACATAAAATACAGACATGCAAAATATGCCCAGATAGCTTAGGTCTAAGCGCACATTATTACTGAATGGCGCTCAGAGCACACACATACAGTTCAATTGTCATGGAGCCAAAGTCTTTCCCATAGTCTTTCATTATACGAATGGGCTCCATGACATAGCTATCTGGGGTATCACTACTCAAACAGGGCAAGCACCAAATGACCCGGCTTTCTTGTCTTTGCAGGGGAAAATCAAGCCTTTTAACATGGGGCCATAATCCCAAGGCAACAGGCGAGCAACCCGGCTTCTCCAGTGCAATGTGGCGATTGGTCTCGTCACATCTCTCCCCTTTTCCAAACAGACTAACAGGGTATCTGACCTCCTGCTGGTCAGTGCCCTTGTTAGTCCAGCAGCCCACCCACAAAACACAATCAACAGCACAGCCCACCCACAATAAATGGTTACTACACCTGGGTAGGGGAGAAGCTTGTCCATGTCCAGGTGCCTCACCACGGCTGTGCTGGGTACGGGTATGCTGACTTGGTGGGCTGCTGCGTGGGCAGAGACCAGCGGTACTCTGCCCTGTTGCCAGCGCTACTGGGAGGGTAGCCTGGTTGAAGCCTGGTTGTTGGAGGGGGAGACCGACTGTCTCCCCTTTAGATACAGCCCTGCTGCTGGAGACCGACTGTCTCCCCATTGGATGGACACACAGCTCTGCAGCTGGAGACCGACTGTCTCCCCTTTGGCTAAACAGCCCTGTTGCTGGGGGGCAGAACCGACCATCCCTACCCCCTGTGCTGGACGTGCAGAGACCACGGTCCCATCTGCACAGTTGTGGGGCTTACTGTCTCCCCTGGGTACATTAAGCTGCTGCTGGGGAGAGGGGGTAACAAGCTCCTCTCCCACATATACTTCCAGCCGCGGGGGAGGGAGACCGACTGTCTCTGCTCCTAATACAGAGTCCTGCTGCTGGAAAGGAGACTGGGCTCTCTATTCCCGGTAGGACACTCTGCCGCTGGGGAATGGAGACTGGGCTCCCAATTCCCAATAAATCATTCTGCCGCTGGGGAAGGGAGACTGGGTTCCCAATTCCCGATAAATCATTCTGCCGCTGGGGAATGGAGACTGGACTCCCAATTCCCTGCTGTATGTCCCGCTGGGGAATGGAGACTGGGCTCCCAATTCCCAATAACTCAGCCTGCCGCTGGGGAATGGAGACCGGGCTCCCAATTCCCTGTAATTCACACTGCCGCTGGGGATCTGAGCCGACTGCCCAGCATCCCTGTAGCTCACCCTGCCGCTGGGGAGGGAGGATGCTGCTCTCCTCTCCCTGCAAGGTACACTGCCACTGGGGGACAGGACCAACTGTCTCTGCCCCCTGTAACTCAGCCTGCCGCTGGGGAATGGAAACCGGGCTCCCAGTTCCCTGTAATTCACACTGCCGCTGGGGATCTGAGCCGGCTGCCCAGCATCCCTGTAGCTCACCCTGCCGCTGGGGAGGGAGGACGCTGCTCTCCTCTCCCTGCAAGGTACACTGCCGCTGGGGAATGGAGTTCAGGCTCCCAATTCCCTGCAATATCTCCCGCTGGGGAATGGAGCTCGGGCTTCCAATTCCCTGCAATATCGGTGGAGAGACCTCGGTCCCATCTCCACCCGCCACCTGGGGTTCTTCCCAGTAAAACTCAACGATGTCTTCCCAGCTTAATGGGTCTGGAACTGGATCTGTCACCTTGCTGTCCTGCTGAGCTTTCTCAATTGAGTGGAAGAGATCTCGGTAGTCCTGCTCCAGTTCCCACTCCAGGGTTGCTAGGTGGACCAGGTCTTGCTCAATGTCGTGAGTGTCATCCCAGTCATACCTGCTCTCTCTCCACCCCAAGAGATCACTGAACTGGGCTTGTGTAGGGCTCCCAAATTCAGGCTCTGAAAAAGCCTCCCATAACAAGCCAGGACCATCAAACTCCTCTCCCTTTGGCTTGTCATGCTCGGCTGTCCAGGGTAGGTACTGTGCCCCATACCACCAGAGCGTCTGGTAGGCATCTTCAAGCCAAATCTCCTGCCATACTCGGAGCTCCAATTCCTTCACCCATTCCTCCAGGGGCTGCTCTCCCAGAAAGGGTATCCGCAGGGCCACTTGCTTCTGCAACCGCTGCTCTTCACTGGGGAGACTCTCACCCCACTGGTATTGTACATTATCCAGGGCCTGGTACCAGATGCCTTTCCTTAATGCATCCCGGCCATCCAGGTCCTCCTCCCCGTATAACACTGCTGGTTCCATCTCGGTGCTGTCAGGGTCGCTGTACTGGGACATGCGTTGCCCTCAAATTGTAAATCCACGGAATGGTGTCGCCTGTAGCTGTCCTTTTGTCTGTGGAAACGATCCCGCCGCTTGCCACCAATTGTAACGGACCGTTTCAGCACACAAGGGGTTAAACCGTTTAGGCGATCGTCCCCTTCCAGAGAAGCAGGCACAGCTACCGCAGAACACCAATCCACCGGAAACCATACGAATGCTGTAAACAGCCGAATAGGGAAAAACCATACGAATGGGTTTACACTCCTAGCAGTCAAACTGGAACAGCATACAGTAAATCCCCCCAAGAACAAGACAAAGCTCCGTGTTGAGGGTCAAGCAGTGAACAGACAGAGCTGTGGATTTATTGTGCTAATTCTTACACATTAGTACCACCCACAGGGTTTTGGAACACAACCAATAAACACATACAATACACTCAGACACTCCCACACAAATTCCTCCCCTCTGCATGTGATTCAATTACCTTACACAATGGGTAATGTAATTTAGCACAAGCAGAAAAATACAATTTTTCCACATTATTCATAACTTGAAAAGTATGCATCACATTCACATAAAACTTACATTTTCAGAATCAGCATACTCCAAATACAAACATACGTCAAAATCATACAAATTGGTCCAGTGGTTCAAAAGATAGATCGTAATCCTTTGTGACCACAGGAAGCATGGCTTTTCTGCCCAAAACCAGTTCCACAGAGTCTTCTATCCTGGAGATAATTAGAAGTAATCCAATTATCTCCAAAGACAGAGGCAAAACTCCATTGAACACATGACAGCAAAAAGACAGTAAAATACAATAAAATACACAAGGTTACATTTATGACATAAAATACAGACATGCAACATATGCCCAGATAGCTTAGGTCTGATCGCACATTATTACTGAATGGCGCTCAGAGCACACACATACAGTTCAATTGCCATGGAGCCAAAATCTTTCCCATAGTCTTTCATTATACGAATGGGCTCCATGGCATAGCTATCTGGGGTATCACTGCTCAAACAGGGCAAGTACCAAATGACCCGGCTTTCTTGTCTTTGCAGGGGAAAATCAAGCCTTTTAACATGGGGCCATAATCCAAAGGCAACAGGCGAGCAACCAGGCTTCTCCAATGCAATGTGGCGAGATTGTCCTCGTCACAATATATATATGAACCGTCATACAAATAAAGTTAAAAGTTAAATATAATTAGTCAATCAAACAGTAATGAAATGGAAGAGCTGAAACTCTGACCTGTCTGCTGATGGAGCAGTAAAGAAAGAGGGGGAGGAGCCTCATCACTGTGAATACTATACATCCTATTGCATTTTGATTTATCTTTTTCACTTTTCTTTACTGCTATGTGGAGTTAGTAAAGAGAGTTATATGCAAAATAGGAAGCCTTCTGTCATGTGGTAAAATACATCCTACCCATCCCCTTTCTTCCAAAAACCACGCAGTCCATCTCATGCACTTGTGTATGGCTAATGCAATAATAGGCTGAGCTTCCTGGATAACCTCTGCTAGGTTAACCTGCCTTCAAGGAGCCCACCCCTGTGATAGAATTTATCTTGATTCCAAGGCTCAAGCTTATAGGTGTCATATAATGATATCCTATATTAAAATTGGCTAACTTGGACTCAGGAAATGCTTGATGCTTAAATAACACTTAAGACCATATATGTCTAAGTTCCGGGAGCAGAGAGCCCCCACCTGAGATGTCTCTTCTATAATCTTTTTGTTCTTTCTTACCTTGGAACTTATTTGTTATGTGTACATGTGTACATGATGTTCATCCCTATGTCTTATCTGTACTCCCTTCCTATTACTGTTCTAAGAGTATTTGCACGTAAGCACTTACTTTTTAATGTATAAAACCCAGCTGATGAATAAAACATCAGAGGCTTATTTTGAATACCAACAGGTGTCTGGTGTCTAATTCTCGCTTCTCCAAGTGCACTTGTAACAACAATTTGGGCTTCCTCTGAATATAACAAAGATCAACATTTCTGATCCACAACAATTTGGTGCCGTGACCCCGGGATCTGACGGTCGAGAGACTCGGACACTAGCGTATAGGTGGACGTCCCTCTGACAGTGAAATCAGCTGTACAGCAAAGTAAGAAGAACTTTTTTCTACCTTTATCAATTTCGCTCTCATATCCACGTCCTACTAGTCTGTCTGGGTAAAGAACAACTTAAAAACGTCTGATCTAAAGAACTTGATTTCTGTGGTATTATGGTTATATTCAGGTGGAGGTTGTGTTATGTCTTGTGAAAGGAATCTTGAGATAGTGGAATATAACTGTGGGTTGTAAGTTATTTTTATTGTTTGCCTTGTCATTTGTTTTATAATTTGAGTTAGAATCCTCCAAGGGCAGATCTCAAAACCGTGAAAATTCCACTGCAGTGGTCCTAAGTGTCTTATACACTGTTTTTGTACAGTTTGTCTTGTGTAATGAAGTAATTAACCCTTACAAGTTTTAAGATGGGTAGCTCTGAAAGTACCCAAGGGGGATTTACAGCTTTGACAATTGTCAAGCATCACAAAGGACAAGGAGCAATTAAGAATGTTAAGAGGTTACTTAAGAAAGCTGGCATTCCCTCAGAGGGCACTCTAGACCCACATATATGGAGTGAATTTATGGCAAATTACAGAGGATGGTTAGAAGATAATGACTTAGTAGAAGTCGCACAAAAATGGCATGATACTGCTGTTGAATTAACTAAATGTGGTTGTAGAGAAACCACCAGAAAAGGTGTACTATATTATCAATGTTTTGGACCTCTAGAGTCTCAGTGTAGGCAAGATCCTGGGAAAAATATTGAAAACCCACCCCTTTACCAGGATACTGCAGGGACTCCTTTGGTCCCTGTAACGAAATCCCTTATTAAACAGACCATGCGAACCAGCCTGTTCGGTTATTTGGATGATTACAGCGGGATTTCGTGCAAATAGCGAGAAAAGTGAATAAACTACCGAACTACCCGACCTACCATTGAGGTCGTGTGGCGCCTATTAACCACCCAGACTGTTGCGGTTAACCACAGACTAATTGGGGAATAGCTGGTGGTCGGCGTTCGTTTACCGAACACGTGGCAATCGCCATTTTGTATTGTCGAACACTCAGCGGTAAATGGCGAGGATTCCCTGGAACTAATTTCGGCTACTTATTTTGTCGAACACCGCTGCTACCTCTTCAAATCCTCGTTCGTACGGTGGAAAAACACACGAATGAAGGGGATACTACTTCATTCGTGCGCTGGAAGTATGCGAAAGTGACCGACCCCAGATAGCTACAGCATGGAACTTGTAGTCGGCTACAAACACACGAACGACTGGCGAAAGCCAAACTTCAGTCGACGTTTCTGAGAACTGTGTTCGTGGGATCTGAGCGATATTCGCCTAGAATAGCTATCTGGGGATATGTGGGACTTAAAGTTTATGTTATGTAAAAGGAAAGTTATAGATTTTTATGCTGTTTTGCTAAAATAAGAAAAGCCATTTTTCTTTCTACCTGGAGATAATTAAGGCTCTCTTTGCTACCTTAAGTTAATTATCTCCAGGATGGAAAAGAGGGAGTGATTTATGTAAAAGGGGAGTGCTTATGCTATAGCCACTGTGATTGGCTACTGTGATACTTTTGTCCCAGTCTTCCATCTGGTCCCCTAGGGGAGTGTCCACCAGGTGGGAGACCTGCATAAATACTGGGCGACTCATGTTTGGGGGATTGGGAGTTATAATCACTTTGTTTCATCTGGATTTCGGGAGAAGCTGCAAGGATCATCGCTGCACGAATAGAAGGATCCTTTACAGTCCCTAAGGGCCAGGCAATTTCCCTTTTACAGAGATCAAAACCTCTCTTTCCAGTAATATTACGTAGTGGGACTTCATATGGTGTCCAAGTAAGACCTATGGGTTCATTAGAGCAGGAAGGTAGTCCAGACTTAAAGGAACCCCTAGTTGCCCCCACAGACACCCCAGTGGGGCCATTAGCTCCACAATTTTCTACTCCCATGATACCCAAAGTTGAGAGTGTATACCATGAGAACAGACAGCCAAGCGCAGGTATCCAATACTGGGAAGAATATAAGCCCTGGACACCCAGTGAACAACTGGCAATAATACAGCAGCTGGCAGATGTTGAAAAGGCCCCCTTAGCTCTAGTCCAGTCTCTATCCACAATTCAAGCTACTTACCAGTGTACTTGGATGGATTTAAAACAGATTGTGGCACTAAATAATTTCTAAATATACAGATGCCCATGAAAATAACCTCAGAAAAAGCAACATGCAAACAGATGAATGGTTTAGAACCAAGTCTGCATCTGGAGCATGCAATGTCACTGCAATGAGAGAATGGGCTAAGGTAAAGACAGAGGAACTAGCCCATAAATTAGGAGATATACTAGAAGGGAAAGATGAATCTGTAGAAACATTCTTCGCCAGACTACAGATGACTTGGGAGGCATTGGGTTACACTGATGTTGTAACCACGTCGACCAGACTGCTTTTTAACTGCTTCATGGATGGTATCCACATACCTATAAGGACTGGTCTCCAAAATGCTAGACCTGAGTGGAGAAGTTTAACCTATGGTGATCTGGTGAAGGTGGCTAGGGGAGTGGAAGCTAATCTAAATACTAGAAAGAGGAGCACACCTCTAATGGCTGTAACTGTCCCTGGAGCTGGTGGAGACAGAAGGCAGGTAGACTGCTGGAATTGTGGCAGGAAAGAACACATTAAACGTAACTGCAAGTGTCCTCCTAAAAATAGAAAACCCCAGGATTCTAATGATAACTCCCATGACAGCCAACCACCTATGGCCCAGATTCTTGAAGAGTGGCAAAGGCCAAATAATGTAATTTTATTGCAGTATATCGATGACCTACTCCTATGTTGCGATAATATGGAATCTTGTATTGTAAACACTCTTTCCTTGCTAAAATTCTTGGCAGAAGCAGGCTGTAAAGTGACAAAAACGAAACTGCAAGCTTGTGTAGAGAAAGTTATTTTCCTAGGACATTGCATTTCCCAGGGCATAAAACATCTCACGGAGAGTAGAAAGACTGCAGTTCAAAATATTAAACCCCCTCCCCCCTGCAGCCTAGCCCAGCTCCGCACATTTCTCGGTTTGATATCTTACTGCCGTCCTTGGCTCCGTTCTGTAGCTATCTACATGCAACCACTGTAGCTATCTACTTGCCAACGAAAACAAACCATTTAAATTAACCCATGCGGCAGAAAATGCCTTCTATACCCTTAAGTTACTGGTAACGTCAGCTCCGGCACTGGGTCTCCCAGATTACAGAAATAATTTTAACCTGTTCTGTACTGAGCAATCAGGTTATGCTACATCTGTCCTTACACAGGACCATGGTGGTAAATAAAGACTGTGACGAGACCAATCTCACCACATTGCATTGGAGAAGCCTGGTTGCTCGCCTGCTGCCTCTGGACTATGGCCCCCTGTTAAAAGACTTTGTTTCGCCTGCAGAAAAGCTGTATTCATGCTTTTCTGCCGGTTGTTTGGTAGATTCAATCTACCGAACAACCGCATGAATGAATAGACACCTGGGAGCTGGAGTGTGCCGGCAATTAACCTCCCTGAAGCTGCGGTTAACCACAGCTTAATTGACGAATGCTGGGTGACCACCATTCGTATCCCGAACACGAGGTCGCGGCCATTTTAAACATATGAATGCACAGCGGTGTTCGTCTCTATTTTCATGGTACTAAAATCGGACACAGTTTTGCGCGAACACCGCCGACCTCCCTTCTTGTTCGGTGGAAGTGCACGAACGGCCCGGTGTTCGGTAGTTTTGTTTGAATGTGTTATACCCCAGATAGGAATCCCATGGACCCCATTCGTATGAAACTGACTGTAAAGACTTTGGCTCCATGGCGATTAAACTGTATTCGTGTGGTCTGAGCGCCATTCACTTAATAATGTGCGCTCAGACCTGAGCTATCTGGGGATATGTTAAATGTATAGTTTTAATGTAATGTGTCTTACCTGGTGTATTTTAACAGTAATGCTTGTTTTAGTATCCCCATGTGCATAATGGAGATTTGCCTTTGTCTTGGGAGATAATTGAATTACTTCTCAATTATCTCCCAGGGCAGAGGGGAGGAAGCCAGGATGCATTGTGGGAATATACTGTGACTGTGTGTCCTATTTGTCTGCTTGTCTGTCCCTTGTCACAGTCTCCCATTTGGTCCCCTAAGGGAGTGTCCACCAGGTGGGAGACCTGCATAAATACTGGGCAGGTAGCCCTCATTAAACAGACCACTGCTTGACCCTCAACACGGAGCCTTGTCTCGTCTTTGGGGGGGATTTACTGAATGCTGATAGAGACTGATTGCTAGGAGTGTAAGCCACTTGGATGTTTTTCCTATTCGTCTGGTAGCAGCAATTCGTATGGTTCCTGTTCGTGTATTTGGAGTGCTATAGTGGATGCCGTTCGGGATTTTGCAGCATTAGCTTATTGGCGGTTCGTGTGTTTGGTGTTCTGCAGTAGCTGTGCCTGCATCTCCGGAAAGGGGGCCGATCGCTTAAACAGTTTTTACCCCTTTTGTGCAAAACGGTCAGTTACAAAGACCAATAGCATAGTACTCCACCAGATTGGACCCTGTTGCCAGGGGTGCCCCCTCATGTGGTAGGGCAGTGGTGGCTGTTACTGCCCTGCCCTCCTGGACAAAGCCACTGATATTGTCTTAGATAACCCGGTGACCATATACACACCGCATGAGATCAACAGCATACTGTCACAAGTTCAACCAAAACACATACATACTGGAAGGCATCTCAGAATGCAACGTACCTTGCTTATGCCACCTAATGTTACTTTTAAAAGGTGTATGGTGTTAAATCCATCTACATTACTTCCCCTGGATTTAAAAGAGGGGAGTGGGGATAGTGGGAATGGTACTTGTACTTCTGATCTTTTTGTAAATTCACTTTCACCAGATGTGTTAGCTGATGCCCAGGTACCCCATGATTGTGCAGCAGTAATGGCACAAGAAACAGCAGGTTTTTGCATGTAATTGATTCTCCATTATCTAATGCAGATTTTGAGTTTTTTGTAGATGGTTCCAGATATGCTGATGAGAAGGGTAATTTCCACACTGGATATGCTGTAGTCTCTGCACATGAGGTTATAAAAGCTGAACCACTCTCTCCTCACTGCTCTGCTCAAGGCACTCGCTAAAGCGTGTAAAATGGCTTCTGGTAAGACTGCTAATATTTATACAGACTCTCGCTATGCTTTTGGTATAGCCCATGATTTTGGCCCTATATGGCGGGCTCGTGATTTTCTCACCTCAGCAGGAACTCCAATCAAGAATTCTGAAGCTGTGAGTGCACTTATGGATGCTATCCTGCTACCCACTCAGGTAGGCATCATCAAGGTGGCAGCTCACATGAAGATCACAGATGAAATCTCAAGAGGAAATCACAAAGCAGACGAAGCTGCCAAGCAAGCAGCAATTCAAGTTCATCCCTCTACAGGTCATACCTTCCTACAAGTTGTTCTTACAGATGATGCAGTTGACTACAATATACTGTTGAGCTTACAAAGACAGGCAAGCAAGGAAGAACATGACCTCTGGAGGAAACAAGATGCAATACCTGATGATGACAGAATGTGGAGGAAAGGTAAAAGACTGTTTGTGTTGTACCCCATGATGGCCCAGTTTGCCCATGGACCTACACATCTATCCAAGATGCACATGAACAGCATAGTAAACACCCATTGGGTAGCACCCGGATATACTGTTGTAGCAGCTAAACACACCCAAGCTTGCATGATTTGTGCTAGAAACAATCCAGGACAGGCTGTCAAAACACCAAGTAAGCACACACCAAGGCCACTTTACCTGTTTCAAAGACTGCAGATAGACTATATTCAACTACTTAAGGTAGGAGTGTATGAATATGTGTTGGTGTGCATTGATCTCTTTTCAGGTTGGCCTGAGGCCAACCCAGTGTCGAAAGCCACAACGCAGGTCACAGCAAGTAAGCTTCTGAAGGAACTGGTATGTAGATATGGAGTACCTGAAGTGATTGAAAGTGACAGAAAGTGACATTTCACTGGGGAAATAATGCAAGAAATTATGAAAGCCTTAGGGATCAGTCAGGCTTTCCACACCCCCTATCACCCCCAGAGTAGTGGGAAAGTAGAAAGGGCAAATGGCACCTTAAAGAACAAGATTGCAAAAGCCATGCAAGACACAGGAAAGTCCTGGACTAAATGCCTTCCCCTAGCACTCTTTTCTATGGGATTCACCCCCAATTCCAGACATGGCCTATCCCTTTTTGAGATCCTGTTTGGATGTGCCCCAAAGACAGGCCTCTATTTTTCCCCAAACCCTCCAAATGCAGCATGGTAGTATGACTACCTATGTTCAAGCCCTACACCAAAGATTAGGCAGGGTGCATAAACAAGTCTTTGATTCTATTCCAGATCCAGACTCTGATTCTGCAACTCACAAACTGCAGCCTGGTGATTGGGTGATAATAAAGAGGCATGTGAGGAAAGAACTTGAACTACGCTTTGACGGTCCATTCCAAGTGCTCTTGACTACGGCTACCTCAATGAAATTAGAAGGAAAAACCACGTGGATACACGCCAGTCACTGTAAACAAGTCACTCCGACTGATCCACCGACATGAAGCTGTTCTTATCCTTTACAATTTTATGCTGTGTTCGGATATGCTACTCTGACTTGAGACCAGAAGATAATAATGCATGGCAGGAAAATATATGGTTACAGATAGCAAAGGCTTTTAATTTAACCTCCTTTTGCCTCAACCCTCGCCTCAGTACTGAAAACGCCATAGAATCTTGTCATATAGCTATCCTACCCCCATCTCACTGTTGAGGAAGTACCTACATATCCATAGACCCCATAAATCTCTACAACTATATACTTATGCCTTCAACCCACTGGTAGGCAAGCCTCCCCTAGCCCTGAAGACAATTAATGTGACAGGCGCTGAACTATGTTGGTCTTTTTCATGTAATTGTTCAAGAGACCCTAATACTGAATCCCTGTTTTGCCCCACATGGTGGAAAAATACCACAAATTGTAGAGCCCTGAGTGTAGCGGATGGCACTGTGGCTGTCCTTAAAAGACTTGAGAATCCTGCAATTCGTGTGTTAATTCTGTTTTGTAATTCCCTGTAACTAGCATTCGTATGTTTGTTCGGTAGTTTCCATATGTATTTCATACGAATGGAAACTACCAAACTAATAGACCTCCCCAGAGTGAAGTGTGTTCCCAATTAAGTGTCGAACATGTGTTAACCGCAGACTAATAGGTGGTTTATTGCTGTATCTGGGTGGCTGCCATTCGGCATACAAACACGTGGCGGCGGCCATCTTACGCACGAAAGACTCAGCTGTGTTTGGTCGTCGACTGTCTGGAACTCAAATCGGACACTCGATTACCCGAACACCGCTGACACCTCCAGAGCTCCATAACTCCCGAACAGGAAGACGAATCAGCCCGGTGAGTTTGGAGTACCGAACAAGGGCATTCAGGCAAATGACAGTTAAATCGTCGATGGCATGTATTACAATGTATTTTACCTCCCGAACAGAGACCGACCGCAGGGCCAAAACGCATGGGACCCATTTCAGATACCACCTCGTGTGCGGTCGGTCAAATTTCACCCCTGGTCCGAGCTGGGTGAATTTTGGATATGTTAGTCACCCAGATCAGGGCTACCAGGGGGTACCCAAAGTATGGGTGTACCTGCTAATCTTGGGGTACATCCAGAACTTGGGGAAAACTGTAACCTGTATAATGGGATTAGGTGTTATACTAAGGGGAGGAGAGGTGTGGGAGGTAACTGCTATTTCATTGGGTACTGTATTAATGAATGTGAATCCCTCCCTTGCATGGGAGAAATGCTTAAAAGGAGGTTGTGTGGAATAAACATGAGTGCTGCTCCTGATGCTGTGTGTCGTCCAGTCATTGGGATTTGTATGGGGATATTCGTGGATTGCTTTGCTTATTGGAATTATTGCTTCATGGGATTTTTCATCACTTGTTCCTGAGCCTCCCTGGGATCTTAGTGGAGTTAACCTGTGAAATACCAGGCCTCCACTACACTGAGCACCACTATGAATTGTACCAAAACTCACCAAGTTATGAGTTACCACTACAATGTCTGTCTTCCTAAAGGATGGACTTTCTCCTGTGGAAATATTACTTATGCTTATGTCTCAGGTAACATTACAGGAGGTCCCTGTGTAATCTCTCGCCTAACCATGACCATGTTTTCCAAATCTGACCTGATCACTAAAACCACCCAGCTACACAAACTGCTGAGAGACAGGAGAGATGTTAAAAACACCCTTAATGCAGATTGTAACCCTGAAATCACTCTCTTATCTAAACCTGAATACTCTGCCCTAGCGTACACCTTGGTAGGAGTCCCAGGCTTAGCACTGTATAATACCCAAGTAGTAAATGCTGTAGCCTGTTCCCTTGCAAAAGGTTTAAATGCCACTTCACAGGCCCTAGAAGAGCTACTTATGGACAACCAGGCAAATAAGAAGGCAATACTTGAGAATAGAGCAGCCATTGACTACTTACTAATGAAACATGACTTAGGCTGTGAAGCTATTGAAGGTATGTGCTGTTTTAACCTATCTGACCATGGCACTATGATCCATAAACATATAAAAGATTTACATGACTTAGTACAGGATATCAAACAGGATACTGGCTTCTTTGGGGATTGGGATTGGACATTTGGCTAGGAACATGGTTGACTTTACTAATTAAGAAAATTTTGTACTTTTTGCTATTAGCTGTATTTGTCATTATGGCCATTTTTCTAACCTTTAGATTTTTTTCATGTCTACTAACCTCTCTATGTAAAAGCAAACCTACTGTTGGTCGTACCTTAACTTACATTCTAGCTCCGACTTCAAAAAGGTTTTATGATGTTACCTTGCCTAACAAAATGAAGGAACTCTCTTCCGTTGATTCTGGTGGTCTCTCAGTCCAAGGGAACCGTGGTGAAGCAATAAATTAAAGTCCCACAGGCTTTGGCTAGCAGGCCTGGAAATACCTTCGACATTTGGGTGACCCTTGGATCCAGGGCCGGACTGGGAAAAAATTAGGCCCGGGCATTTTTCAATCAGAGCGGCCCCCTAAGAAGGGGGCGGGGCCAGAGAGTGTGTGTTTTGTCATCACTAATGACAACACGCCCCCTCTCAAAGTGAGCATGTTGGTTCAATGCCCAGAGCCCTGCTGAAGAGCTCTGGCATTAGAAAAAGGCCCTGAATTTGTTCTGCGCAGCGCAAGCAAATGTAATAACATGCTTGTGCTGTGTTTGCTTTTAAATTGTCTCTGGTGTCTCCACAAGTGGGATACCAGAGGACAAATGGACCAGGAAAGTGCATGGTGCATATGTTTGGAGCCTGCTTGTGGGATTGCGTGTGTGTAGAGTGTGGTATATCGTGTAAATAGGTCAATTTAATTTGTGTTTGTGGTGTAATATGTGTGGCTAGGGGCTGTAGAGAGTGTGTGTATAGGGGGCATAGTTTTATAGGGGATGCAGCGAGTGTGTGTGTATAGGTGACGTAGTGTGTGTAGGGGTTGCAGAGAGGGTGTGTTTGTGTTTGCTGACGAGGAATGTAGTGTGTGTGTGTAGGAGATCTACTGTGTAAAGGACCCAGTGTGTGTGTGTGTGTGTGTGTGTGTATAGAGGATAAAGAGTGCATATAGAGTAAGGGATCTAGTGTTTATCTGGAGCCTAATATGTGTAGTGGTGCAGTGTGAGGGGTGCTGTAGTGTGTGTGTGTGTGTGTGTGTGTGTGTGTATGTATATATATATATATATATATATATATATATATATTTGGACTTATTGTATGTGTGAGGGGCGCAGTGTGTGTATGTAAGAGGGGTGCTGTGTGTGAGGGTGTTTTTATCTGCTGTCACATTCTAGGTTTCTAATTTTCTTTGTCTGTTAACTCACTGAGGGTTATTTTATATATATATATATATATATGTGTGTGCTGTATATGTGTGGGAGTGTGCTGTGTGTGTCTGGGGGGTGCTGTGTGTGTCTGGGTGCGCTTTGTGTGTCTGGGTGCGCTGTGTGTGTCTGGAGGTGCTGTGTGTCTGGGGGTGCAGTGTGTGTCTGGGTGCGCTGTGTGTGTCTGGGTGAGCAGTGTGTGTCTGGGTGCGCAGTGTGTGTCTGGGTGCAGTGTGTGTCTGTGGGTGCAGTGTGTGTCTGGGTGCAGTGTGTGAGTCTGGGTGCGCTGTGTGTGTCTGGGTGCAGTGTGTGTCTGGGTGCTGTGTGTGTCTGGGGGCTGTGTCTGGGAGGTGCTGTGTCTGGGTACTGTGTCTGGGGGGTGCTGTGTCTGGGGGCTGTGTCTGGGGGTGCTGTGTCTGGGGGTGCTGTGTCTGGGTGCTGCTGTGTCTGGGTGCTGTGTCTGGGGGGCTGTGTCTGGGGGTGCTGTGTCTGGGGGTGCTGTGTGTCTGGGTGCTGTGTCTGGGGGTGCTGTGTCTGGGGGTGCTGTGTGTGTCTGGGGGGCTGTGTCTGGGGGTGCTGTGTCTGGGTGCTGTGTCTGGGGGGGCTGTGTCTGGGGGCTGTGTCTGGGGGCTGTGTTGGGGGGTGCTGTGTGTGTGAGTGAATGTATTTTTTTTATTTAAATGTAAAAAAATTTTTTACTAATAAAAAAAAATATATATATATATTCCCCCCCCTCCCTTCTTACCTTTATCCTGGTGGGGGGGGGAGATCCGTTCTGCCATGGAGGGAGGGGAGCCGTTCTGCCATCCTTCCCTGGTGGCCCAGTGGTGAGAGTGAACTCTAACCTGCAGGTTAAAGTTCACTCTCGCGAGAGCTCAGAATCCTGCGAGAGGACCCGGCGGAGCTGCTTGTTAGAGCTCCGCCGGGTCCTCTCTCCTCCCTCCCTCACCCAGCCGGGGGCCACATTTCCATGCCTCTGGGCCGGTGAGGGAGATCTTTGATCTCCCACCGGCCCATGGATGCACACAGCAGGGCCGGCGCTCGGGTAGCGCTGGCCCTGCACGGGCTGGCAGGGCAGATTCTGTGATCTCCCCTGCCGGCCTCGGCCCCACGGCCATTGCAGCCCACCGGGCATTTGCCCGGTGTGCCCGATGGCCAGTCCGGGCCTGCTTGGATCTAAAGAGGGGATTGTGAGAGAATTTATCTTGATTCCAAGGCTCAAGCTTATAGGTGTCATATAATGATATCCTATATTAAAATTGGCTAACTTGGACTCAGGAAATGCTTGATGCTTAAATAACACTTATTGTTGTTTGGTGTCTAATTCTCGCTTCTCCAAGTGCACTTGTAACAACAATTTGGGCTTCCTCTGAGTATAACAAAGATCAACATTCTGATCCACAACACCCCCTTCTAAGTTAACCTACCTCCAACTAGCCCATCCCCTTCTGAGCTTACCTACCTCCAACTAGCCCTTCACCTTCAGCGCTAACCTGCTCACAGCTAGCCCACCTTAGCTCACCCCTGCAGAGCAAACCTGGTACCAATTAGCCCACCCTCTGCAGAGCACAACTGGCCACCCCTGCTCAATTAACCTATTTTTAGCTAGCCCACCCCTGCAGAGCAAACCTAGTCCCAGCTAGCCCATTATGGTGCTCGTGTGTCCCTTTAAGCATTGCTGAACTAAGCTACGATTTTGTCATCGTATTATCAAAAGCCATTCTTAAAATGTCCTCCTCTTGGTATGGTGAGTGAGCCATTTGGTTAACATGAATCATAGGGCACTGGATTGCAAAATATACTATATCTCTATGAGGAGAAAAAAGTAAATAAAGGATCCTAAAATTGTCCTTATGGAACTTTGTGACTTTATGTAAAGAGAAGAAAGGGAAAATGCATTGATTCCAGAATGAACGTATGGCAGAAATGCCTCTGTCACATGTTCAAGGAAGGGCCTGCTGGCTAGCCTATGGCCCTGCAAAAAGACATGTTAAAAAGTGACTTCCATGGAAAAACCAAACCACTGAACCGATCTGGTTGATTTTTGGATAGGTTGGTTACTCAGATCAGGTCTATACAAGGATGTGACTCTTGTGGGGTTTCCATAGATCTTGGGGGTACTTTTGGTGCGCTTGTAAATTGTGTGTTTTTCTGTACCTGGAGATAATTGCGTTTGTACAGTTCCTGACTCAATTATCTCTCAGGCACAGAGGAGGAGTATATTGTATGTATAGAAACATAGAAACATAGAAACATAGAATGTGACGGCAGATAAGAACCATTCGGCCCATCTAGTCTGCCCAATTTTCTAAATACTTTCATTAGTCCCTAGCCTTATCTTATAGTTAGGATAGCCTTTTGCCTATCCCACGCATGCTTAAACTCCTTTACTGTGTTAACCTCTACCACTTCAGCTGGAAGGCTATTCCATGCATCCACTACCCTCTCAGTAAAGTAATACTTCCTGATATTATTTTTAAACCTTTGTCCCTCTAATTTAAGACTATGTCCTCTTGTTGTGGTAGTTTTTCTTCTTTTAAATATAGTCTCCTCCTTTACTGTGTTGATTCCCTTTATATATTTAAATGTTTCTATCATATCCCCCTGTCTCGTCTTTCCTCCAAGCTATACATGTTAAGATCCTTTAACCTTTCCTGGTAAGTTTTATCCTGCAATCCATGAACCAGTTTAGTAGCCCTTCTCTGAACCCTCTCTAAGGTATCAATATCCTTCTGAAGATACGGTCTCCAGTACTGTGTACAATACTCCAAGTGAGGTCTCACCAGTGTTCTGTACAATGGCATGAGCACTTCCCTCTTTCTACTGCTAATACCTCTCCCTATACAACCAAGCATTCTGCTAGCATTTCCTGCTGCTCTATTACATTGTCTGCCTACCTTTAAGTCATCAGAAATAATCACCCCCTAAATCCCTTTCCTCATATGTTGAGGTTAGGACTCTATCAAATATTCTGTACTCTGCCCTTGGGTTTTTACGTCCAAGATGCATTATCTTGC